CTCCCTTGGGGGTGCTGTTGTTGTAATATGTTGATCATTGTGATAGGTTCTCCCTTTCTCCCCCATCCCCAACCTTCCCTTGTGGTATCTGCTACTCCCATTGTTGTTCCTGAGGAGTTTATCTGTCCTGGATTCCGTGTGTCCAGAGCTCTTATCTGTACTAGTGTACATGCTCCGGTCCAGCCGGATTTGTTAAGTAGAACTGGGGTCATGATAGTAGTGTGGGGGGTGAGGTGGGCAGGGAGGGGAGGGAAGAAAGCATAAAAGAACTAGAGGAATGTGTGTGTTTCGTTGAGGCTATGCTGTACCCTGGCTGGCTCATCTCTTCCATGTGACCCTTCTGTGAGGAGATGTCCAATTGTCTACAGATGGGCTTTGGGTCTCCACTCTGATCATCCTCATTTGCATCCATATGATTGATTGTTTGTTTTGGCTCTTCTGATGCCTGATACCTGATCCCTTTGGCACCTTGTGATCACACAGGCTGGCATGCCTCTTCCATGTGGGCTTTGCTGGTTCTATTCTACCCTGTCTTATTAGGTCGCTACAGTCGGCATCGCCTCGATGGCAATGAGTTTGGTTTGGGGGTCGGTCCCCAACTCTCATCCAGGTGAAGCATGGCCTTCTCTTCTAACCAAACATTCCAGAGGAAAGAACTCTCGACATTTCACTCTTATCTTGACCGAAGAGATTAGTAATTGTGCCGTGACCGTCACAAACAAACCACAAAGAACCCAGACGAAGAGCCGTTTGCTAACAAGCTGTTGATTTCGTCTTCAGGTATTTGGAGAAGAAGCGATTACTATTTCCCAGATTCTTCTTTGTATCTGATCCAGTTCTCCTGGAAATTCTGGGGCAAGCCAGCGATTCCCACACCATACAGGTATTCTCTTTTAAGTATCGATGTTCTGAATCCTTTCCTCCCACTAGCATACGGAATCACTAATAAAAAGGAGACGGTAGCCTTGGAAAAGTGCAGGCAGGAAGGAAGAGTATTTTGGTGAAGCCAAAAATTAAGTCTGGTCAAGACCAGATAGTAGTTTAGCTTAACCGCGGAGAACAGGTGTGGCAAGGAGAATGGGACCATGGCCAGGAGTCCATGCGTGTATAGGTTTGGCAGAGCGTATGTCTACCTGTGTCTGTGCTGTTCACATATCCATGATATGGTGGAGCACACGGGGGACCAAGTGATCCAAACTTCTTAGCCAGAACCAAGCATCTTGAGAAAACAAATCGCTCGGCCTGGGGCACACCCTTCCCCAAGGACAATGTTAAAAAGAAGATCTTTAGAAAGAAAAGCTGTTAAGGACACCTCAACCGGGGTTGTGGTTAGCTTCTGTACGGTGTTTTCCCTCCTGTTTGTGCTTCCTGCAGCCGCATCTCCCAGCAGTCTCTGACAACATCAACGAAGTGACCTTCCATCCCAAAGAGTACGATCGGATCATGGCCGTCATTTCAAGGGAAGGAGAAAAAATTATGGTAATGATCATGGTGGAAGGGTTGCTATTCCCATTTTTAGAAAAGTTTAAGTTGAGGAGAAGAAAAAAACAAAGTATGTAGGGGCAGGGTGTGTGAGGATTGGGGTCCAGCTCTGTAGCCTTGGCTTTGTTCTACAAACGAGTTTGGATGCATAATTTAACTTCTTTTTAAGGCTCATTGTATTCTCGGTAAAATAAGGGTTTTAGACAAGATGATCATTCCTCCCAGCTGCCCTGTCGTGCAATTTTTAACCTGCGTTTTAAATGTTTTGTACAACATAAGAAGCTATCTGCTGAGCACTGAGGTACCATGATTTAGCGAGTTAAGTGTGTGCTCGGCGTTAAAATGCCACATCCTAATTATGTTGCCATGTATTCGGAATATATCTCTTTCAAGCTGGATGTCCCTGTCATGGCCAAGGGCCCCGTAGAGATCTGGCTTTTCGATTTGCTAAAGATGCAGATGTCATCCCTCCACAACATCATCAGGTCAGCGTACTATCAAATCAGCGACACGGGATTTCAACTCCTACCTTTCCTGAATCACTTTCCAGCACAGGTGAGATCAACAAGGTGTCACTAATTGTAAAAAGAAGTAGGGAGAAAAGGGGAGGCTGTCTGCTGGGCGGCTTGGAGGCTGTTGGAGCCCGGAATTCATTCGTTCAAGGGTTCTGGCCCATCTCAATGAAACTCCACTCCCAGACACCTGCGGGTCTACACCTCGTGCTCCACCAGCCCGCCCATCTCCCAGCAGAAGAGGGCAGTATTCACTCCAATGACTTCCCGCTTCCCGGGCTGAAAGTCGTGAATCATTGCACACACGTGGAGACGGCTTAGATGAGATCCAATGATCTACTCAAGACTATGCAAGTCAACCTTGATTAGAAAGAGTTGAATCTATTATGAATTTTTATACGGTATAATGTCTTTATTTATTATCTGCAATATTTATTAAATGATGGAGAGAATTGTTTGCTTAACGAAATCAGCGTGTTTCTCCTTCTTTATCTTGTATATGCCAAAGGAGAGGCTTCAGCTAGTGAGACAGAGGCCTTAGCATCAAGCTTAGATCAGAGGCCAAGTTCCAGTGGGGGGTTAATAGGAAAGGTGGCCAGCTTTCAGGATTTTCTTTAGTTAATATGTGTATGTATTCAGCTTTATGCCAAAGTGGGCTTCTGGGATTATTATTTTTTAGGTCCAAAAGGCTCTAGATCTGTTGCTTGGCTTTGAGAGTGCACAAAAGTTCCCAAAGGACAATTATTTCAGCAAGAGGGGTGAGGGTAAGGCATGTTCTGACTGCTTTATTACCTTTGCTGGAACAGAAATTGTAGGAGACATCCACTCACAGTGTCCTTTTGCTTCTTCAGGATGCTAGAGGACCAGCTTCTCCACATTTCCATCCCTCCCTGCCTCTGTCTCTCCTGTAGGTAAATGAGATGGAGCTGTACATGCAGGCGTTAGAGACGTTAGATGTAAGGGATTGTGAGATCAAGAAAGGGAAGGGGCAGTCAGTGCATTGTTGTTAGAAGGTACAAAGGAACCTCTGGGAAATCCTGACCAGGAAACATACACAGTGGTGTAGATACTCCCAGACTCATTGAGCAAGATACCTGTTGGTCTCTGGTCTTCTATAGAAAACAAATTGAAGTGGCTTCCATAAGAATAGCCATTATTTTCATTACTATTACCAACATCTAAACCATGAAATAGTAATGGCAAAACAACATGTTACATCCCACCCCCCACTGCCTGGGGTGGGGGGGTGGGGGGGGACTCCCAAATGAAAGCTTGTTTGCCTTTTGTACAGACAAGCGACCCCCCATCCTCCCCCCACCCTGTGCTTCTGTCCTTGCAGATGGACTTGAAATACTTGACAAGTCTATTTGTCGTCTGCGTCCATAGGTTGGGCTTCTCGGAATTCAGATGTTGTGGACACATGATTCAGAAGAGGCTTTAACTAATGCAAAAGACGACAGAAAAATCATGCAAATGACCAATCAGAAATTTCTGGACATTCTAAATACTCTCATCGGTCAGACAACACACGACCTATCCAAGTTTGATAGAGTGAAATTTGAGACGCTGATTACCATCCACGTGCATCAGAGGGACATTTTTGATGACTTGGTAAAGTGCCTTTTTGCTTCATGTTAATGTAACGTATTTAGCATACTAGTCGTTTAGTACAGCTAATATTGTCTTATACGGAGCCCTGGTGGCAGTATGGCTCCTAGCGCTCAGCTGAAACAGAAAGGTCGACAGTTTGAACCCACTGGCTGCTCTGAGGGAGAGAGATGGGGCAGTGTGTTCTATAGAGTCCAGCCTTGAAAACACCATGGGCCATTCTCTTCTGTGCTATAGGGTAGTCACCGTGAGTCTGAATCAACTGACCTGGCAGCCATGGGTTTTAATATGGTCTTGTATGAACTTTTTATCTACGTGGTCCTTTGTCACAGTGGACTCCATCTATTCTATGTCTCGGAGCCCTGGTTCCGACCATTCCGTCCATAGAATTTTGGTTTGCAGATTCTTGAGCCATGGTACCGTAGTAGTTACACATTGGGTTGCCAACCGCTGGGTCAGTAGTTCGAAACCACCAGCTGCTTCCCAGGAGAAAGATGAGACTTTCTACTCCCGAAGAATGTTATAGGAACAGAACCCCGAAAGGACACTTGTACCCTGTCCTATAGGGTAGCCATGAGTCAGAATCGGCTTGATGGCGGTGAGTTTGGTTTGGTTTATTCTGTGTCTGGAGTCCCTGGTGGTACAGGTGGCTAAACACTGGACTACTAACCTGAAGGTTGGCAGTTCAAACTTACCCGGAGGCACCTTGACAGGAAGGTATGGTGGCCTGCACCCGAACGATCACTGCCTTGAAAACCCTCGGGAGCAGTTTGGTTTGCACTTATGGGGTCTCGTGGAGGTAAATGGACTGAAGGGCAGGCGACAGAATCGCACTGTTTCTACAGACACCCATACTTGATGGTTTGGACGAGCACAGCAGACATACCTCAGAGGGTTGCAGCCCTGCCTCTAGACCAGTGCAATAAAATAAACATCACAATAAAGCAAGTTACAAGACACGTTTGGTTTCCCAGTGCACATAAAAGCCTGTGGTCTGTTAAGTGTGCACTGACAGTCTAGAAAGCTTGAAATACTGTGTGGATTCCTAAAATATGACACAGAGACACGAAGCGAGCGCTTGCTGCTGGAGAATGGCGCCTCTAGACTTGCTCAGTGCAGGGCTGCACAAACCTTTATTTGTAAAGAACACAAGAGCTGCCAAGTGGAAAGGGGTGACGCTCAATAAAACAAGGTATGCCTTGATGCACATTCATTTGTAGCCCAATGAGATGAAGTGAGCCAAATTGTTGTAGCATTGACCTCAATAATGGGATGACATAGTTAGTCACAAATTCTTATAGGCTGATTGGGAAGGCAGAAGTCCAGACTAAGTCAAATCAAGCTTGAGAGAACCAATATGGCTATTTGTCTAAATTATAACAGGCAGTAGAGGCAACGAGGGCAATTTGGACAAGATTCTGTCTTGGTGCGGGGCAAATTGAGTGGTGTTTGAGTTCCCTTTGCCAATAGGACTGTAACCATGTTCTTGAGCAAGACCACGCTCTCCTAAAACACTGGTTCTGTTTTAAGGGGCCCAGATGGCATTGACCTATTACCATCCAACTACCCTTCTTTGATCTGATTGGATTAATCACATAGAGATCTCTTTCCTTCATCCGACACGCAGAGTTCACCTACTCTGGGCCCTTTTCCAGAGAATATGTTCACTGACTACACGTTTCAAACGTACGTCAAAATTTAACATCAGATAAGTTCGGCTTACTGATGACTGTTTGAAGGACAAGCAGTTTATTCCCTTGGATCCCGTGTCTGTGAACCATGCTCCACAGACCAGATGCATTGACGTCACCTGGGAGCTTATTGTAGCAGCACAATCTCCAGAGCCATCTCCCCATGCCGAATCCCGATCCCTGACAGAGTCTGTATTTCAACGAGACTCTCAGATGATTCATGTGCATAGTACAGCTTATGAAACACTGCTGTAGGATCTGTCTCTGGATCTAGGCAATCATCACAAGGCTGTGTACTGAGACCATGTTGCCTTTCTTACTCTGAGTGGTGATTGCCCTTGTACACGTGGCTTTCATTGGAGGGCCCTTCAAGAAAACCCTCATGGAGTCCATTACTGTGTCTGATCTGAGGAGACTACTGGAGAGGGCTACATACCTCTCACTGACTGCTGTAGCTGAAGCCTCATGGAAAAATTTTCGTTTAGAATGAATTGTTAAACAAAGCTTTGCTCCCCGTGCATAAGGGATTTTTTTTTAAAGCTTGTTATTATTGGATGCTGTTGAACTGATTCCAACTCATGGCTGTACTAGGGGGCCGATCACGTAACACGGTGCCATCAGGGCTACTTTTTTAACCGGTACACAACGAACACGATGGAACACACTTCATTTTGTCTTCGCTACCATTGAATTCTTAGTCAATTTGCATCCCAACTAAAATGAAATCTCATGAACAGCAGACATGTGCATTTTCTTTTTATTATTTATTATTATTTTGCATTTTATTTTTCTATGGGCACCTAGGGAAGCCTGGAACCCAACAAATGGTAGCTCTTGCCCTCCTTCATATCACATGATGAGGTTCCCTGTTCGTGCACTGGGTACGCATTGGGTTGCTAGCTGCAAGGTCAGCAACTGGAAACCATAGCTGCCCCCACAGAGGAAAGATGGGCCTTCCTACTCCCATAAATGGCTACATTCTTGGAAACTCACAGGGGCAATTCTGCCTTGTCCTATAGGGTCACTGAGTCCTATAGGGTCACCGTGAGTTGGCATAAACTCAATGCCAGTGAGTTTTATCATCTGCTAAAGGAGGTCTGATAACTGAAATAAGGACCCTGGGTGGGGAGAGGGTTTCATATCGTTAACGCTCAATGACTAAGCTCAAGGCTGGCAGTTTGAACTCACCTAGCAGCCCTGCAGAAGAAAGGCCTGGCGATCTGCACTTGTAAAGATCACCACGGAAGCCCTATGGAGCAGTTCTACTTGGTCACACACCAGGCCCCCATGAGTCCGAATGGAACGGACAGCTCCAGGCACTGTTTGATCACCTCTGAGAGGGAGCAGGGTGACTGGATCTCCAGGACAGTGGAGCCTGCCTTGGACTCCAGAGTCCTTGGAGGTTGGGGGGAGGTGGTGGGTAGTTTGTGGGGGGCTAGATCATCTTACTTACAAGTAACTGTTTTAAGGTGATGAAGACAAACTTTGCCAGGGAAGCCAGAGCTCCCAGGAACACGGAGACTTTTTTAGGTAGAGGTCTGTACCTTGTGAAGCTGTCAGAGGCCCATTTTTAAGTTGTACCAGCTGAATGACCTGGAAGTGGACCTCTTGGGTCTAAGAACCATTGGCCACTTTCCAGTGGTGATGCCCCTGGATGCCTGGGAAGGAGGGTGGGGAGTAGGTGAAGGGCAGGACTCTGGTTTCTCCAAGTTTGTCAATGGAAAGCCATGGAATGTCCCAGAGTGATTTTGACGGGATGCACTTCCTAAAAGTACATGCCTGGAGGAGGTGCTAGGATCGAATGCTGGTGCTGGAGCCCAGTTGCTCTTGCCTGAAAGGCCTGTGTGGTGACCGTGAAGCTTAGCCACTGTGTGAGGCAGGAAGACCTGTGGGCATCTAGGCATATGTGCCTCCTTGGTCGTCCCTTCTCTGCCTGCACATTGCCACCAGGACGGTGACCAGATCTCTTCCCTTGGCCCTTGGCTGTCCTAGCTACACTGAACTTCTTTCAGCTCCTTGAACATATCATACGTGTGAAATTGTTAACCACGAAACAAAGAACCCAGACCATCGCAGAGGTTGACAAGTTACTGCTGGTTTGGATGAACCAGAAACAACTCAGTGGTGAACGTGATATTCAAGAAGGCTAAACGCCTGCATCGCGATTTAATGAAAACCGTTGTTCAAAGCCAGCCACGGCTAGTTTGAAAAGTTCAACAAGAGAACAGGGGGTGGGTGAGGCCTGGAGACGAGGCGAGTACCAATGAAGAGGAAGCCGATGAATTCACGGCTGAGTTTGCTGAATAGGGTCTTGTTCCCCAGCAAGTGTTCAACTGCAAAGAAAGTGGACTTTTTTTGGAGGGGGGGGGGGGCCGGGAATGCCCAATAGGACCTTCATGACACAATAGCAAAAGGCATTGCCAACCCACAAGCCTGTGAAAGATAGGCTCATTCTGTTGTACGGGAATGCTAGTGGGGATTTAAAAGTAAAGCTGGTTAGTGAACCATTCTGGTAACCCATGGGTTATTTAACAAAACATAATGAAGATAAGTTAATTTTATTTACTGTACTGTTTTGATATTTAATGCACTGTATTTATTGTGGTTTAAGATGGTTTTGGGGAAATTTCCACAACCCAGGGCTATAAACTTTGTGTTAAAGTCCTGGAAAAATGAATTTGTAAGTGTAATTTGGGGGCCTCAGAACTAATTGTTTGATTTTCCTATTATTTCTTATGGGAAAAATAGGTTGAGTTCTTAAACTTTTTGGTGTCTGAACAAGAATTTGGAAGGAATTGAATTCCACAACTGAGATACCACTATATATAACCGACTAGCTAAACTAACTAAGGAAATGGCTCAAAAAATCGTGTGGAAATGGCACATACAATTGCCAGGCAGACTGGGCTGGTCAATCCCAAACCCATGGGTCAGCTGCAAGCCAAAGACTTTGGTAGGCTTAGGCCCCCAGAACTGGAGGTCAGAGGACTAGAAGCAGAGAGAAGCCTGCAGGGTTGGGGTTGGGACTGGGGTGTGGAGGAGGTAGGGTCAGGGGAAAGTGCCAGGAGTGGGAGAGCAGGCCCAGAGCATCTATTTATAGGTGGAAGGCAAGCCACACCCTTTCAGCTGATGGGCTAATCACATCAAGTTACCTAATGAAGGCGATTATATTACACAGTGAAACTGGTAAGAGCTGAAATTGAATGGGGCTGCCTTGTTTTTCCAGTCTCCTGAATTTTCTGCTTTCACAGGGTGCAGCCTTACCTTTCTCTCACTTTCTCTTAGGGAAAAATATTTGAGTTTTTCCTTCCCTGACAGTCTTCCTTCTTAACCTAGGTGTCTTGTCACGGTAGACTAGAGAAACAAATTCATAGACACTCATGTGTATAAGAAAGAGCTTTATATACAAGAACAATTGAATATTGAGAAAACATCCCAGCCCAGTCTAGATAAAGTCCATAAGTCTGCTATTAGCCCATATGTCCGATACCAATCAATAAAGTTTTCTTCAGACTCACGAAACACATGCAATGACACCGAATGCAGGAAGATCACAGGCTGGTGTATGTGTGTGTGAGAGAGTCTTGTAGGTCCAGTGGTGGTGTAAGCATCTCAGCGCTGGCAGGGGTCTCCATGTGGCTTCTCTATCCCCAGAGGTCTGGCTCCATCAGCCTCTCTCCATGTGTCTTCTCCACAGGGATGTCTCCCAGGGAATGAAGAGAGAGAGAGAGAGAGAGAGAGAGAGAGAGAGAGAGAGAGAGAGAGACTCTCCCCTTCAAGGAGGAAATACCAGAGTTCCCAGAATTTTCTGGAGAAGGCCATGCCCACACAGAAGCCTCATTGGCTATGACCTGATTGACAGCCTAGACTCCACCCCTTCACTCTGAATCCTCAAACTGATAGCAGATTAGGTAACTAGGACACCAGGTCTGGCCTTCACAGGCAGGTTTGACTGCATATCCTGTGGCACAGCACCAGCCAGTGTCTGCCAACACCGAGCATCATGGCCCAGCCGACACATTACATGCACTATCCCAGGACCTTGCTCTACCCCTAAGGAAAGCTGGGTCCTCCTGCAGCCTGTCTCTGGGAACCCTGAACTCCTTGGGTCGTGTTTTCTAGCCACCACGGCACTTACCTTTTTCACTGTTTGTCTTCTGTCCTGTTTTGCCAACTTCAGAAGGCAGGGACCAAGTCTCTCTTGTTCACCCAGCACATTGTGAGGCAAAGGAGGGCCTGCACAAATAGTGGCTCCTTGTGAAACGAAGAGGAATCAGCCCTAAGACATGGTGCAGAAACACTGCCTGTGTGTTGGTGTTTTGCGTGGTGCAATTCAGGTCTGTATAACCTTCTGCATTTTGTATCTTCAAGGTAAAAATGCATATCAAGTCGATTACAGACTTTGAGTGGCTCAAACAAAGTCGATTTTATTTTAAGGAAGATTTGGACCAAACGGTGGTGTCCATTACAGATGTCGATTTTATTTACCAAAATGAGTTTCTGGGCTGCACTGACCGTCTGGTTATCACACCCTTGACAGATAGGTAAGAAGCGCATTTGTGTGTGTGTGTGTGTGTGTGTGTGTGTGTGTGTGTGTGGTGGTTCCAGTTTGTAATTCATCCAAGTGTCTGAAAGCATCTTAAAAGGGGCATTAAAGCTATTGACGCAAACATGTCGCTGCTGGGCATCTGCTGTCTCGGCAAAGCCGACACACACTGGAGCGGTTACTTATCCACATACCAGAATGCTTCATGAAGAAACGTGTATGTGATGATGAGTAATTTTGTAATGGATCGTAGTTTCTGACATGGGAAAAGTAGCCATGGTGCGCTTAACACAAGTCTCCCATCTCCAAGGAGGAAAAACAGAATTTCCCAGAATCCTCAGGGGAAGGTCATGCCCACTCTGAGGTCTCATTGGCTATAACCCAATTGACAGACTAGACTCCACCCCATTCACTCTTAATCCTCTCAAGTCCCAAATTGACACCAGATTATGTAACTACCACAGTTTACAATTATATCAGCAATGGACATGCCGGGCGTGCACCTCTTCCCCATACTGGTTGAGTGGCCTCGTATTGAAAGCATGCCATTGGTTCTAGTGGAAGCATTTATACCCTGGAAACGGGCAGAAGCACAAATCTCAAGATTCCCTTCATCCTGAGAATCAGTGGTTAAACCTACCATTTATTTGGTCCCCTGTTTCACTCTTCATCTTGACCATGAAGGTGTGAAATCAGAGTTAAGGAGGTTTGGAGTTTGCCTTAAGTCATTTTTGGAAGTACTGTACTCCTCCTAATAACTATCAAGTCTGAGCTGGGGGGTCAACTCCCTGGCAGCAGGTTTGGTTTTGGTTGGGGCCGCTGCCTCTTTTCTGTAGACTGCTCAAAGGTGAAAAGAAACAGGCCCATTCATGTTACCCTGGACTTTTGGGCTCACATTCTACTCTACTATGGAAGATCCTGCACTGACGATGTGTTCTCTGATTGACATTTGCAGGTGCTACATCACGTTAGCCCAGGCGTTGGGTATGAACATGGGCGGTGCTCCAGCAGGACCAGCAGGCACTGGCAAAACAGAAACTACCAAGGATATGGGACGGTGTTTGGGGAAATACGTGGTTGTGTTCAACTGCTCAGATCAAATGGATTTCAGAGGCCTAGGGAGGATTTTTAAAGGCAAGTGTCAGCTGACATTAAATGCTTTTTGGTGAATTTATTTTTATTGCACTTCATGATTTTCAGATATAAATCGATTGTGGCATTGTTTCAGATGATCAATACTAGGATGGATTGACCCACATGGGATTGGCATTTATATTCCATGTGTGGGATTATGAAAATTGAGTCCATTTATTGCCTGAACTAAGAGTGGAGGAAATAAGATCAATAGAGAAAACTGATCAGCCAAGCAACTTCCCTTTTCTGCTCTAATTCCACTGAAGTGAAGAATTTTTAAAATAGAGTTTTATTGATTTTTGTTGGGCCCCTAGAGAACATACAAACAAAAGGCACACCAGTTCAACACTTCCTACGTGTTCCAGTTAGGGACTCTGACTATATGCTTCAAACGGTGTAACCATTCTCACTCTCCTTTTCTGAATCATCTCTCCTTTTCTGAATCATTGCCATTAACACATATTCACAGCCCTGCCCTGGTGGTGTAGTGGTTATGAATTGGACTACGAACTGCATGGTCAGCACCAGCCACTCCTTGGGAGAAAGATGGGGCTTTCTACTCCTGTAGAGAATTGGTCTTAGAAACTCACTCTGCCCTCTAGAGTCACTATGGGGTGGCATCGGCTTGACAACTGTTTGAATATGGTTCCTACCTAAACGTTTGCATTGCAGTTGTTAGTTTGATCCCCTATTGTGTTAGTCTGGGTTGAATAGAGAAACAAATCCAGAGACACTTATATGTGTATAAGAAAGAACTTTATATCAAAGAGCAATTGAACACTGAGAAAACATTCAGACTCATGCAACACATGCAATGACGCTGAGTGCAGAAAGATCACCGGCCAGTGGGTGGGTAGAAAGTCTTGTGGATCCAGTGGTGGTGGAAGCATCTCAGCCCCTCCAGCCCCAGGGCTCTGACTCCATCAGTGTAGCTCCATGTGGCTTGTCAGCAGGAAGATGAAGCAGAGAGAGTCAGTCAGGCCTCCAGTGAGCTATTTAACTCTATAATGTCTCCAGATGAGGTCATCAAGCCACAACCTGATTGACAGGCTAAACTCCACCCCATTTGCTCTTAATATCCTCAAGTTGACACCAGATTATGTAACTACCATACCTATTGATAGTTCTGAAAATTTTTTTTTTTTTTTCAAAACACAAACACTGGAAAACACGAAAGGGAGTCATAGGCCAACTCGAGGTGCTGAGAAAATCCTGAACGCTAAAGAGGAGGTGGTTTCTCTGAGTGGCGCCATTAAGCTCGACTCCCACAGTTATATTTCGAGTTTGGACTTCCTGGTTTGGTCCATGCCCGGGGGGAGATGCTGGATGGCTGTAGCCACTCTGTCACTCTCATGGGATGTCCCATTCTAACCACACTCCCTGAACTGCTGGGAGAACCCCGCACGCCCCACAGGCAGCCAATTACAAGTGCAAGTTGGAACACCCAGGCTCCAAAGCACTAATGTCCGAACAGCTTGGGTGGGGGTCACTTTGACATGTGGATTGAAAACATGCGTATCTGGTGTTTGTGGCCATGAAGCCTACCTTTGAAAAAAGTAGACAGACCATTGGTGCAGCAGAGAGACCTCTTGACCACTGAACTGAGTTAACTGAGAAAACAGGAGGAACTGCAAAAAGAAATAAAATTAATAGTTTCAAAGAGAATACAAATGAACCACCAACAACTAATAATAATAATAATAATAAAACAACCAGCACATGATTCTATGAAAAAAGATGGAGCTGCTGGACATTGAAATGGAAATGAAAAACAACAACAACAATAGCAACAACAACAACAAACTCCCATGAGTTGGAATATCTAGCCAACAGTTGTTAGGTGCCATGGCGTTGGCTCAAACTGACCATGACCGGCAGGATGAAGCCCTACCCCGCGCCCCCCTTCTCTCCCCCTGCACCCTCCTCACAGCTGTTGTCAGGGGCGAGCTCACCGTTGCGACCACGGTGCTGATCCATCTCTCTGAGGGTCGTCCTCTTTTCCCCTGCCCTTCTTCAAAGTCTGGCCTTTTCTGAGACAAGCCTCCTTCGCCATCGTTGCTTCTAAAGAGTTTTCTGGTTATAATTCTTCCAAGATAGATTTGTTTGCTCTTCTGGCAATCCGTGGTATATTCCATAGTTGTGGTCAACACCTTAACTCAGGTGCATTCATTCTTCTCTGGTCTCTCTTGTTCCTGGTCCGACTTGCACATGACATGGGGTGGGTGAAAATACGCTACATACCATGGCTTGAGTTAGGCTCCTCTCAGACCTCCAAGAAATGTCTTTGATCGTCAACACTTTAAAGAGAATACATTTTGAAAAGACAGAAGCAGAATTTGAGTGAAAAACGGAAGAGTCATGGGAATGGATACGTACATTCCACCATCCACACAGCGAATTTTCCCAAGGGAGAACAGAGGAAGATGGGAGGGAGAATTATGTAGCTGAAGTAACAAGAGGAGGGGGCACTGTTTATGACAGCTAAGTCTTGCTTTGCACCGGATTTTGTAAGGATAACATTTAAAAAATGTTTTTCTTAATGTGAACTATGAACCTTAGTTAATAATAATGTGTTGCTATTGGTTAATCAATGGTAATAAATGTATCATAGAATCAAGATGGTAATAGGAGACAGTGTGCAATGTAGGGAATAATTGGGAACCCTTTATACTTTCTGAATGGTTTTCCTATAATCCTGAAAATGCTCTAAAACAAACAAAAAACCTCACCTGTTTTAAAAAGTTAAAAAGAAATAGGGAAAAAAACCCTGTCTTACTCTGCATCTAGAAATATCTATGAAATGGTAATAAGAGAGGAATGGCGACCCAGAAAGTTCTTCCATTTTCCAAAAACTTCAGAGTCTATCCCTCATTGTGGCTCCTTTCATTCGCTCCCCATGGAGACGGTCCAGTTGTGTCACCCACCAGCATCCCCGGGTGTAATGACCTATCCACACTTTAATTGTTTCTATCTGTTTGTCTACCTACCTATCTACTTATCTTATATTAGTGTCTGTGCCAATTTGTGTGTTTGCATATGACCTATGTTGTTATCTATACATCTATCCATGTTACTATCTATGTACCTTACCCTCCATTTCCGTTGGGTGCTATTGCCATTGTTTGGCGATGCTGTGCAGATCATTCTACCTCTCTTTATTCCTGGAATGGTTCATCTCTTCATACAGCCAGTTGGGAAACGGTAAATAAGTCATGTTTCCATTGATGATAGTTTGGGAGCACTCTGGGAAGGAGGATGTATCATAAAACAAGACTTGTAACCAATTCACGGTTTTTCATTTCAGGTCTTGCACAGTCCGGTTCCTGGGGATGTTTTGATGAGTTTAACAGAATCGAATTGCCCGTGCTGTCAGTGGCCGCCCAACAAATATACATTGTGTTGACTGCAAGAAAAGAGAGGAAAAAACAGTTCATTTTTTCCGATGGCGACTGTGTTGACTTAAATCCAGAATTTGGGATCTTCTTAACGATGGTGAGGACAGAGGCTTCTGAATGCAGCTTGATTAGCTTAATTGTTAGAAACTTAAATGAAAGTAACCATGATTGAGTAGTTGTGATTGAGTAGTAAGGGGTTGTGAGCTCTTTTCTCTTAATGGATGGTTTATAACTATTTTTTTAATATTAAAGACAGCCCCCACAAAAGATACAATGATGTTCAATGGTCGCTACTGTTTATCGAGTACTTATTATATATAAAGGAGTCCCTTATTAGATGCCAACAAGTCAGTTCCAACCCGTCGTGACTCACAGCAGAATGGACCATGGTTCGGTCCTGCAGGGACAATTGTGAGGGTGGGACAGGGCTGGGCAGTGTTTTGTTCTGCTGTGCAGGGGGTTGCTATGAATCAGAGCTGACTCGATGGCACACAACAACAACAACAACAACAACAACAACAACAATAGCAAGATGCTTCTTCTACTCCATCCTGGCTTCCATGTTTTAGCCAGCCCAGGACTCAAGATGCTGCACGAACTTCTTTTTTGTTGTTGCAACCACTTGATGAGATCAACTCCCTTAGCACAAGCATCAGAGGCATTTCTGTATCTCACCGTGCAGAATTTCAAGAGCCTTGGTGGTGTTGTGGGTTACACATGGTTCACGGGGCTCCTCACTTCAAAGTCAGCCATTTGAACCCAACGGCTGCTCTTCCTCAGGAGAAAGATGAGGCTCTCTACTCCTGGAAAGGTTTATAGCCTTGGAAATGGCAAGGAGCAGTTCTTTGCTGTCTTGTAGGGTTGCTGTGAGTCAGGGTTGACTGCATGGCAGTTGGCTTGGTTTGGGGTAGAATTTACTCATGCCAGTTGCAAGGCAGGCTGGGAAAGGTGGTTTTTAACCCTGAGAGTGATGAACAGTAAAATCCATGGAAACTAGAACCAGTTTCAGGCGGAAACTGCCAGAGAAGGAAAGCACATGTATTTCCCATTAATAGAGAGCGACAGACGGTGGTCAGACTGCACCCTGTCAAAGGTGGAAAGGGCATGCTGTCGAGTTTCTGCTCTCAGAGGTTTAGCTGTCCCATACTTGCCACTGGATTTCTGTGACTGAGGCAGAAGAGAAGTACAGTATTCTCTGCAGACGCAATCTCAGTAGCCTAGGACCTAGCGTGGGCTCTTGAAAGTGCCCAGTCAGTATTGAGGGATTGTACATTTCTTAGTGTACTTTCCTAAGATGCCAGACTCCTGTTTGTCTTACGTGCCTTTGAACTGCTAACCTTTCCTTTGGGACTTTTGGGTCTGGTCTGCTCTTCCAATCTGTTGTTCCTTATGAGGCCTTAGCTTCCCACCTCCCTCCTCTTTTATCCTTTTTCCATGGTTTCTCCTCTCCATTCCCTTTTTGATTTTCCCTTGCCCCCATGGGCTTTCATTTGTTTGTATCTAACTGTGCTTTGCCAGGCACAGAAGCCTGTAATAACGATTGCAAAGAATAATTGAAGAGATGCAGTGGATGAAAATCCCCTCCCCTGCCACCTGCCAGTTAGATATTTAGTCTTTCATTATCCAGCTATGTATCCAGCCTTCTCTTCCTCTCTTTTCTTTTTTTAACGCACAATGCTAACTTTTGATACACAGAACGTGTGTGTTTGTTTATGTGACTTTATTAGTATAGCAAAAGTGGACATAGAAAAAAGAGAGTGCTCTGGCATGAGCCCAGATGGATGGCCCCAAACCCCATCAGAGAAAGGGCAGGGCATTTTAGGAACGTGGCCAATTTCACTGTCACTTTAGAACCAGCACTAGGAGTTCCCCGTGTATTTGTACTCATAAAAAACGAAATCTGTTTTAACTTTTAGAACCCTGGATATGCTGGGCGCCAGGAACTGCCAGAAAACTTAAAAATCCAGTTTAGAACTGTTGCGATGATGGTTCCGGATAGGCAGGTATGCCCGAGGTGTGAGACACATAAAGCGGAGCGTGCTGCTTATGTTTGCCGTGAAATTTGTTGGTACCTATCAACTGTGTTTACTTTCAGATCATTATGCGAGTTAAGCTTGCAAGCTGTGGTTTTCTTGAAAATGTAATCTTGGCTCAGAAATTCTATGTTCTTTACAAACTCTGTGAAGAGCAACTGACAAAACAGGTGAGCTTGTCGATCTGCTTTTCTCCCTTGCTACTGAACTTGACTTTGTATTCTGCAGTTTTTCCTGAGAAAGGCTAGTGAGCGCATTAGAAGTCCCACTGACGCATTTCTAAGATGTAGTTATCATTAATTTTACCTATCAGTTATGCAAGGAGCCCTGGTGGTGTAGTGATTACGTGTTGGGCTGTGATCCGAAAGATCAGCAGTTCGAAACCACCAGGAAGACAAGGCTTTCCAGTCCCATCACCAGCGAGTTCTGAAACTCACCATGGGTTGTGTGTTTTAAGCCTGTCTGCGGCTCAGACTGTATCAGGCGGTATTTCTCTTCAAAAGGGTACTGAAGGTGTGAACAACTGTGTCCTACAGCAGCGGTTCTCCACCTGTGGGTTGCGATGCCTTTGGGGGTCAAACGACCCTTTCACAGGGGTCACCCAATTCATAACAGGAGCAAAATTAGAGTGATGAAGTAGCAACGAAAATAATTTTATGGTTGGGCGTGGGGTGGGGTCACCGTAACATGAGGAACTGTCTTAAAGGGTCGTGGCATTAGGAAGGTTGACAACCGCTGTCCTACAGCCTGGCCTTCCCATGGAATCAAGAGTTTTCAGTCCGGGGGAAGCAGGGGGAATTGAGAGGAGGCAGCTTTGCAACAGCTCGGTCGTTCTGGAATGGCAGTTATATGAAATGTAAAGTGTCTACTTGCGTGTACATCAGGGGTCTACATTTAAAGCATTCTGATGAACAATGCTCCCTCTCTCTCCCCTGCCTCCTGCCCCCGCCGCTTGCTTTCCCCCTTTTAGGTTCATTATGATTTTGGGCTGAGAAATATTCTGTCCGTGTTGAGGACCCTTGGAGCGCAAAAGAGAGCCAGACCGGAAGACAGTGAATTAAGCACAGTCATGAGAGGACTAAGAGACATGAACCTTTCCAAACTGGTATCTTTCCCCTCTCAATGTTACCTACCTTCCAAGATGTTGGCCTGGGTTCTTTCTACGAAGATGTGGTGCGTTGCGTTGCCATTAACGTAAAGTGGTTGGTGGTTTGGACCCACCAGCCACTCTGTGGGAGACAGAGGTGGCCGCCTGCTTCTGCAAAAATGCACCTCCTTGGACAACTCTGCGGGGCAGTTCTCGTCTGTCCTGGAGGCTAGCTATAGACCAGAAGCAACTTGACGGCCAAGGGTCGGGTTGGGTTGCGTCCCTTCTCCTCGCTTGGTGAGTAGGGATTGGCCCATGTTGAGCTGTGAGCACTGTAATAACTACCAGCTTGATGACTGCACGTCACTTGCCTTACAGCCAGAAAACAAGAAACCCATGACCCGGTGTGACTGGTGGGGCCCACACGGGCTGAAACAGGCTTCCTCATGGGACGTGCGCTTCTAGATTTGTGGTCAGGCCCTCTTGCACTCTTGATTTTTGTTTTGAGGTGCCTCGTAGTAAACCCACGTGACACAGGAGACCTGTCTCATAGGGTTTTCCTGCCTGTTGTCCTTACAGGAGAGGAGGGCCAGCCCTTTCTCCCGTGGAGGACTTGGAGGGGGTTCTGGCTCCTCCTCTTTTGGTTCGTTAGCAGCTGAGTGTGTCTCCTTTGAGCCACCAATGGCTATTCGTAATGTAAGGGGAATTCCCGATTTGAAATCTGGACTCAAATGGAGCCCTGACAGCATTGTGCTGATTTTTTCCTCTGGCTGGCTAGCCATCTCCGATGAGTCTCTCTCACACCAACCCCATGCGTGTTTTCCAAAAACGCACGACAGGCTTGCTGTGGCAAGTATAAGAGCGAGTTCCCTGCTTTCAGGCTTCTCCCGAGGACAGTCAGGCTGTGTAGACCGAGCTGATGGACAGATTGACGAGGGACTTGCCCATGGGGTCCATAACCCGGAGGAGGTACAAGGTGGAGGAAGAAAGCGTTCCTAAGGAACTCAGACATCAGTTACAAAGAACTAACCAGGAACACCTGGGAAGGTCCTGACTGTGTGTCTGACATGAGCCTCCCAGAAACGCTGTGGGGTAGGATGGCTGGTACAGGGGTAGTCCTGTTTGACTCTGAGGGGGCGGAAATTCAGAGGATCCCACTCTATCCTCAGAGTCAGCTGAAAACTGACTAGCACAAAAACCCCAAAGGCTTTCTAATGCCAAGTGCTCAGCTCCGCCCAGTACACATCACAGCCTCCGGGGGTGATGGTGTTCTTGAAACGCCTAGGCAAGCATCACCCACGGCACTCACGAGAGCCCTGAAGGATACAGAGAACTCAAGAAGTGGTCAGCGATTGGGAATGGAGTGATTTATGTGTTAATAACATATGGTTTAATCAAACCTACTGCTTGTAAGAAAGCAGAGCCCCGCTGGCTGCCATGGTGTTTTCTAGCCAATGGGTATGAACTAGTCATTGATCATGTAGGACTATGGGTAGTCTCCTGATTTAAATGAAATATTAGCACTCTACTTTCAGAGTTGTGACTGAATGGCATGTCTTCACGCTGACCATGAGAAACAGAGTATTCATGTGCGTTGGCAATGAGATCAGAGCTTGGTGTAGTAGTTGGAAGCTAGATTGTTGAATACTTTGGAGGTCAAGGGACTTGACTACTGTCCTATAGGTGGTGTTCAGAAGAATGTTCTGGAAGCTACACTACAGGTCCAGTCTGAAAAGAGTAAGAAATAATTCTCTGGGTCTAAGTACTATGCCTGTACCAGTCAGTTGATAAATACCTATTGACTGAGTGAGTAAATTTCCTTTAATCTGTGACCTTTTAGGTTGACGAAGATGAGCCCCTCTTCCTTAGCTTGATCAACGATCTGTTTCCAGGGCTGCAACTAGATAGCAGCACGTATGTGGAGCTACAAGCTGCAGTTGCCAACCAGGTGGCAGCAGAAGGTTTGATTAACCATCCCCCCTGGAACCTCAAACTTGTGCAGGTAAAGATCTTGGCTTAAAAAAAATTTTTAAATTAAAACATCATTTTATTGGGGGCTCTTACAACTCTTATAACAATCCATACATCAATTGTATCGAGCCTATTTGTACATATGTTGCCATCATTCTTTTCTATACATATACTTTCTATTGAGCCCTTATCAGCTCCTCTCTTTTCCCTTCCTCCCCCCACTCTTGTGACCTCTTGATAAATTATAAATTATTGTTATTTTCATATCTCACACCGATTGCTGTCTCCCTTCCCCCATGGTTTCTGTTATTCCTCCCCTTGGGTCTGGGTGTGGCTATGTGTCGGTCATTTCTATCGGTTCCCCCTTCCTCCCCTCCTCTCCCCACTTTCCCCTACCCTTCTGGTACCACTATTCCCATTGCAGGCAAAGATCTTTTATTAAACTTGTTATCAGTATAACACTAGACATGTGCCCTTAGAGATCATTTTAATAAGAAACCATGATAGTGGCCTAACTTGATGTAGGTATTGAGACAAAATCAAAACACCTTATATGAGAGGTCGGTCTTTTAAAAGTTGTTGGGAAAAATGGAATGAAAGGATTATGGAATTTCCCCATGAATATTGTGACGCTCTCTGGTATCGTGGCAAAAAGTGTTCTCAGGAGGATGTGCTGGTCCTAGAGGGATGGCGCCGGTTGACTCGCCTCACTGTGACCGAGCTGCAGCCTACTAGCCATGTTATGCACTCTTGGTGAGAGAGATGGAGGTAGCCTGGCATCTTTTTTTTTCTTCTGAGATCTTAACTCTTTTAAAAAATTTATTATTTAATCATTTTATTGGGGGCTTGTACAACTCTTATCATAATCCATCCATCCATCCATTGTGTCAAGCACATTTGTACATTTTGTTGCCATCATTGTTCTTAAAACATTTGCTTTCTCCTTGAGCCCTTGGTCTCAGCTCCTCATTTCCCCCCTCCCTCCTCGCTCCCCCTCCCTCATGAACCCTTGATAGTGTACAAATTATTATTATTTTGTCATATCTTATACTGTCTGACGTCTCCCTTCACCCACTTTTCTGTTGCCCATCCCCCATAGCCTGGCATCTTAAGAATCAGACTCTTCCCTATAAGAATCAGTGCCACCTTCCGCAGAAACACAGCCCACAAGAAAGAAGCAAAACTTCTGAGACCCTAAATCATTAAAGCTATTGCTTAAGATCCTCTTTCTCTTCTATCCTGTCCGTGTAAAGCAAAAATCATAGCTGGAGAGGGATCTCACAGTCATCAAATCGGCCTGGACTGCTGGTGACTCCATATAAGGCTTCTGAGATAGATTACGAATCATCACGGGAGCAGGCTGCCTCGTCTTTCTCCCACAGAGCAGCTGGTGGGTTGGAACCACTGGCCTTGCAGTGGTCGGGCCAACACCCAGCCCACAGCACCACCAGGGCTTTTTGTAGATGACAGAAACACGGCAGATGGAAAGACCCAGTAAGTGTCTCATACCAATCTGGCAGTGCTTTCTGCATCCAGGTGCCTTAAAGATGCATGGGCACTTGCTTGGTGATCTGCGTGAGAAAAAACCCCAGCCATTGAAGACCCTGTGGAGCCCAGTTCTCCTCTGATAAGCCCGGGCCACCCTGCGAGGGAAGGGGCTGCATGGCCACTGGTGTTATTGGTTCACCTCCAAGAACACTCGATTGCGCTACCCCGTGTCTTTTGGCATCTCTCTGTCTCTCATCTTGCAGAGGACTATGTAAATAAGGGGTTTGCAGCCCACCCAGGAAACTGGCCAGGCTGCTACCAATGCAAATAAGGCACCTAGGTGGTTCCACCTTATGGAGGGTGGGACCAAGCAAGGAAGGGTTATAGAACCCTACCCAGGGGATTGGTCAGTTTTTCCAACCCATGCAGCTTCAAACGAGAATGAATCCCTGAGCAGAGAGGAGAGCTGACTACGTTCCATGCATAGAGTGCATCCTTTGGACTCTGGGCCTTGCGCTGAGACCAGGGTGGGGAGAGAGAGTGAGTGTGAGCCAGAGCTGTGGCACTGGAGATGAGACCATGAGCTGCAGTGGCGGAGAAAAGGAGACCAGTGTGTGATGGTGCGATGGGCCTCCAGGTTCCCGGAGGAGGTGGCTACAGCGGGCAAGCAGACCCACAGAATGAGGGCTGAGTGCCTTGGGGCAGGAGGCTTCCTGGTGGACGAGTTGCCTCTGGGAACTTTTGGTGGCACTACAGAACTCTGTAATACTTGCCAAAGCAGGTCAGATGGCAGCCCCAGGTGGGGCCAAGCACCGAGGGCTCAAAGGAGCCTGTCCTGGGGCCACTGAGAGAGACCTGCACAATGGAGAGCCGCTGAGAGAAAGATCCTGTACTTAAAACATAGACTTGTCTACCTGCTTCCTGATCTTGATCCCGAGATGTAGTCCATTCTCCCTAACCAGGACTTGTAACCCATCAACTGGTATTTTCCTAAGACCCCCCTACACCCCCCAAAAATCCCCAACAAAAACCTAATGTGTATCGTCTGCAAGTTCTGTCTGGGCAGGACAACATACCCACAGAGAATCAGAACGCCGTGGGAGGGGTGGCTGATGTCAGAGTTGATTACAAGATGGCAGAATGGACTTATAGCTGACCTCCACCTCACCAGAATCAGCCTTGGGCTGTGGATGCTGATCTTGGAGCGTCGCCTTCCTTGTGAAGTCAGACAAGGATGCCAGGTGAGGCCCCGAGAGCATTTCTCACGGTTTTCACGTGGCTCTTATCTTGGGGACAACCACCTGACTGCTCTATCAGCAGAGTGAGAAGTTGTAGAGCAACCAAAGAATTCAGTCTGTGTGGACCTGATGCTTTGGGGTGTTTCTCCAACTTGAACTGAATAAATTAAAAGAATAAAGGAATAAATTAAAAGAGCAGAATGGTAAAAACTGCTTTTGAAAAAAAAATCCTTATTTAGACTTACCTTTTTTGGGGCCAGTTTATCAGATGTGTATGGGACAGACTTAAAATTTACCAGGAACTCTTCTGGGAAAAGTTTAAGCAGTTTCGCTCACCTGCGTATTGGAAGGCGCTTCCCACATTTTCCTTTAAAATGTTGCTGGGAAAAGAGCTAACATCCTCCTCGTCACTCTGCGTGGGGACCAGAGCATTTCATTCTTTGTTGAGTCCCCATCACCATTTCCACACCCCCCTCCCTCACCTTCCCTGTGCGTCGGCTTCTCCGAGGCCACCCCTGCGATTCCCTTCAGGACGAAGGGGCCACCATGGCACAATGATTTGGCACTTGCCCTTCCCCCAAAGGGTGGCCGTTTGAATCCACCGCCTGCTCTATAGGAGAATGATCTGAGGCAGCAATCTGCTCCCATCACGATTTACAGCTCAGGAGATCATCTGGGGCAATCCTCCTCGGTCCCAGAAGGTCACTACATTTGGCAGCAATGCTTTTGTTTTTGTGTTGTCTGTTGGTTGCCACTCTGTTGCCAGATAGGCAGGGCCTATCCCCCAGTCCATTCCCAAACCAGCCTCTCCTTACGCAAGGAGTGATGGGTGCTGGAGTAGGAGAGTCAAGCTCCCCGGCTTCCGGGAGGGACAAACCCTCGGTGGAATCCAGTCACCCCCCATAGATCAGGCTGTCCCTCATGGGACTTTGCCCCCTGATTACAACCTGCTCTCCTTCCCATTGATGTCCCACGTTCCCCACTGCTTGTCAGTTCCTCCTGGGAGCACTCTCTGAATAAGTCATCTGCATCCATCTCCATTCCCAGGCCTGCTACACCTGAAGGCAGGTGTCACGTGGAGCTCCATGCGGACGGTTTGTATTGCTTCTGGCCACCACGAGGGGGCGGCATGATCACATTGGATGCAGGGAACGTTTTTGCCAGGTTTTTTTTGGGGGGTGGGGGAATAAACCTGCTTGTTATTTATTCAAACAAACAAACAAACAAACAAACAAACAAACAAACAAAAACTTAAACGCACTGCTATCCAGCCCATGACGACTCATACCCCAATCACACGGATTCAAAAACTACATCCTGAGCTAGTTACTTCCCATTGTAACTCATCTTTCACGGCCATCATATCTAGGCCGCTTTACAATGAGGCCCTATTTGGCTGTTCACAGCTAGTTACGACAACAGTTTTACATGTTCTCCTCTTTTAAGAATATCGAGTAGAATTTTTTTGGTGTGTTTAAGTATATATATATATGTATATATATTTGGTGTGTAAATATATATATATATATATATAGTTTTATATATATATATAAAACAAAACTTGACATTACAACTATTTTAAGTGTACAATTAATTACACTCACTGTAGGGTGCAACCATCACCCTATTGTTTCCAAATGTTTCCATCACCCCGAAAAGACGCTCAGTACTCCTAAAGCAGTACCTCCCCACTGCTTGCTTTTGGACCATATGCATGTGTCTAGTCTGGATGCTCCGTAGACGCAGGGCCACACACTATCTGTCCGTGTGTGTCTGGCTTGTGTAACTTGGCATAGTATTTTCCAGGCCGTGGTGAGTGCCTGGATTTCATTTCTGCGATGGCCGAGTGATAATCCATTGTACGTGTGGGCCACCTTACGTTCACCCGTGCTTCTGTTGATGGACACTCGGGTGGTTTCCCCCTCACCTTTTTTTGTGGGGGGAGGGGAGACTCTTGTGACTACCGTTGCCATGAAGATTGGTGTACAAAGAACTAATTGTTGAACACGCACAGCTGAAGGGCTCATTCAATGCCTTGCGCATGCCAGCAAAGTACTACTACGAATGCCCGCAAGGGACCCCTCGGTGACATTTTCCAATGTCTTGTCTAATTATGCAGTTATACGAGACCTCTCTGGTCCGGCACGGCTTGATGACCCTCGGGCCCAGCGGGTCTGGGAAAACGTCCGTTATCACCATCCTGATGAAGGCCCTGACGGAGTGCGGCAGGCCGCACAGAGAAATGCGAATGAATCCAAAGGCCATCACCGCGCCCCAGATGTTTGGCAGACTGGACACGGCCACCAATGACTGGACAGATGGGATTTTCTCTACTCTGTGGAGAAAAACGTTAAAAGCCAAGAAAGGTGCCCATACACCCACCTTGGCAACTGCCTATCCGCTGCCAGTGTATGAGCAACACCGGGTTTGCGCAGCCCAGCCCTTCCTAATGCAGCCCTGTCCTGTTTTAATTACGCGCAGGTGAAAACATTTTCCTCATCTTAGACGGCCCTGTCGACGCCATTTGGATTGAGAATTTAAATTCTGTGCTGGACGACAATAAAACCCTCACCCTGGCGAACGGGGATCGCATCCCCATGGCCCCCAACTGTAAGCTTCTGTTTGAGGTCCACAACATCGAGAACGCCTCTCCGGCCACCGTGTCTCGGATGGGCATGGTCTACATCAGCAGCTCCGCGCTCAGCTGGAGGCCCATCTTGCAGGTGGGGACCTTCCCGGGGGACCAGCCGCAGCAGGGTGTGGACGGCCCCAACCCCACCCCCGCCCCCAGTCTCACTTCCTTCATAAACAGGGATCCTCTTTCTTTGTCGCAGGCATGGTTGAAGAAGCGCACCCCACAGGAAACCTCTGTGTTCCTTAATTTGTATGACAAAATATTTGAGGACGCGTATACATTTATGAAACTAAACCTCAGTCCAAAAATGCAGCTCTTAGAGTGTAATTATATTGTGCAGGTAAGGATTTTTTTGGGGGTGTAGGGGAGGTGGGGTACACACCTCACTTCGATTGGGAGGGCTTTGCTTTCTTCAGTTGCAATTTAGTGGTCTCTAAAATAGAAACTTATTGCAGGCCATACGCATGCTTTTAAAACAGTTTATTTCCTTAACATAAATTTCGTTTAGTTTTAGACGTTAACAGTTTTGTTGACACGTAATCCACCAACCATACAATCCAATGGTGTAAATATATTAAAGAGTTGGCAAGCATGACTACAATCATTTCTAGAACGTTTTCTTCATTCTTGTATCCAGAATCTATAGCTCTCCATTAAGCAGCTTTCTCCAGAAAGTTACTTGAGATTCTTCAAAAACTCAAAACACACTCACTGTCACTGGGTTTATTCCACCGCAGTTTCCCTGAAACCTCCCCTGTCATTGCCCTAAGACACATGGATTTGCCTATCCCGTATTTTATACACAGTAACCCATGCAAAAATGACACCCCCGCCCCAACCCAACAACAACAAAATAAAAGCACCGAAAAACCTCCATCCAAAAGAGAGCAGAATTAATAAACACTAGAACAAGTGAAGAACGAGTCAAAATGGAATCAAGTGGTAAGATGTCAAATGTTAACCTAACCATACCTGCAGGAATTCACGCTCCACTGTGCGCTGTCTGAGCATAAGACTTCCCATCCCTGTTGATGGGATTCAGGGGAAGCTTAATTCACGTTGGGGCTCTGCCATCGGGCTGTGTGATTTGTCCCAGAGAATTGTCTCTGATACAAGAGTCAATAAAATGAATAAATATGACAGGCGGCTTTACAGAAAGTGCAACGCATGGGGGAGCATGTGGCACCCAGGGGAATGTGGGTAGTAAACGCTTGTTTTGCTATATACACCCCCAAACAAAGAGCCAGCTGCCATGGAGCTGTGCAGGCACACGGAGACCCTCCATAACGTTTCTGAGGCCGTAAGTCTTGGCTTTCTGTGGCAGAGAACTTGGTAGGTTTGAACGGCCAACCTTTGCCCACATTCTCTGAGAAGTGGTTTGTGGCGACTCTCCCCCCACCTCCCCCGCCTCTTTTTCTCTACTTGTCTTCAAAAACAGCCAAACAAGTTGCAGATGTGCAATGGCTCACAAAATCCCGATCTGGGTGGTGGGGATCTCCAATCACCACCTAGAGGCTTTGATTTTCTGTTAGTGTGAGGATTCAGTCAGTCAGTGTGAATCTTTAAAAATGGCACCTAAAAGACCCCAGTCACCATGTTTTATAGTCTTTTTAATAAAGAACCGTGCCCCCCCCCCCCCAAAGGCCTCATCCTAAAGCCCACTGCCTTCTAACGGATCCTCCCTGAGCACTCCTGCATAGGACAGAGTGGAATGGCCCTGCTGGCTTCCCCCGGCTCTGCTTTTTCGGGCAGCAGAGGGCCACGGCTTTCTTCTTCTCAGTGGCTGCTGCCTTTGAACCCCCAACCTTTCGGTGAGCAGCCGGGCATGTGAACTAGTCCCTGCTCCCCTGGGGCTCCTTACCGGGCATTCTAGAGGTGAGCATTTCCTTTTGAAATAATTTGAGTTCACACTGACACTGTGACGGTCACATCCAGGGCTTCCTGCTACGATAAGTGGTTGCACACTGCCCCTCAAAGGTCAGTGACAGCAGGCAGATGTTTACGTGAATGTGAGATTGTATGCCAATACAACTTTTGTTTTACGAAAACCGGGTAGCTGGCCCAGGGGGTCATCATTCACTGGCCTCTGAAAAAATATTTGAGAGAAAGAGAGAGTGGCATATCAAATCATCACAACACTTGTAGCCATTAAACTTTAGAACCAGCTACTTCAGAAAACACTTCAAAAACTCAAGAAAATCCTCACTGCCATGGGGTGGATTCTTCCGGAGGAATGAGGAGCAGACCCTCTGTCCTTCTCCATCGGAGTGCTGGTGGTTCAAACTGTTGACAGTGTGATTAGTATCGCAGCCCAGGAACCACGACCCCACCAGGGCTCCAAAGAAAACACCAAGGGTGGGCCCTTGGCTTTCCAGATCAGAAGGAGGCTCTGGGAGGGCAGTTAATGACACAGTTGCGGGGCAGAAACCACCCTTCCAGGGTCCCAGTTCAGCAGTCATTCTTTTTTTTTTTTTTCTAAACATTTTATTAGGGGCTCATACAACTGTTATCGCAATCCATACACACATCAATTGTGTAAAGCGCATTTG